GAGCAGGTTAGTAAACCCAAGGAACAAGGAGGTTTGGGAATTGGGAACATCCTTTTAAGGAACACAACTCTACTAGGTAAGTGGCTTTGGAGGTTTCCCTTCGAGGGCGACAAGTTGTGGCACAAAGTGATTGAGGGTATTCATGGAGTGGCTGGAAATGGCTGGGATACAAAAATTTCCCCTCATAGTTCTTCAGCTTCTCCTTGGAAAGCAATTCATGAAATCTACCCTACTTTCCTCAATTCCATCAGGTTCGGTGTGGGACAAGGTAATAAAATTCTGTTTTGGGAAGATCTATGGGTAGGGGAAACCCCACTAATAGACCAATTCCCTGATCTCTTTGCGCTATCTAACCTTAAAGTTCCATTTGGTTTGTGGGATGGGGATGAGAAAAAGGGAATATTCCAAAAATATTCCCTTTTCTCATATTTGTTTTGAGGGAAAGAGGGGATGGGATGAGAAAAAAGTGGGATGCGAGATCCCAAAATTGCGGATTTGGGGTTGCACCAAAACAGTGCGACCCYGGTGAGAAAACTTGAGTTTCCATCTCCCTCCCGTGAAACGACCATGCCAAAGGTCCCATGCGCATTAATAGAGAAATCTGGCAACACAACCCTGTTCAACGGCACCAGCGCAGGTGTCCGACACCAATGCCACCGCTAGCGTAGGGGAATGACACAACGGAAAAAATCCCTCGCAACGGCCAAAATCCAAAGCAACTTCCCCGTTCGGATAGAAGAAGTCGACGCTGAGAGTCCCATATGCATCTTCTTCGGCAAGTTGACGTTGAAAGCAACTTCTTCTATCTGTGTCTCTATTTCCAATAGTCGATTCTGTTATCAAAGCAGCAAACATGGAGCCTTGTTTATAAGTGCGAACAGGACTGCCAATCGGGCTTCAAGTACTAGGGCGGTGCGCATTGTGTTCGAGGCCGGCAACGGGGATGCGCGGGTCACGCCGGTGCCGACCGTTGATAGTTTGAGGGAAGGAGATGAAGGGGGTAGCCGTCGCCTCTGTTCGTTTCGAACGAAAGAGGAAGGTGAACAATGCCATTTCGGTCCCCTTWTACACTTTCCCATCCCATCCCATCTTTTCCCATCCCACCCAAATCTTCCCACAAACCAAACAGAGCCTAAGGGGGAAGCTATATCCAGGTTGGGGTCACCGTGTCCAACCGGTGTGAACTGGAATTTGGGCTTTAGAAGGGGACCAAGGGAAAATGAGTGTGAATCCTTAATCCGATTGCTGGACCTCTTGGGGCAAATCCACTTGGACCCTTCGTTGGAAGACTCTAGAATCTGGGTAGGCTCTCCAGACGGCCTCTTTTCTTGCTCCTCTTTCTTCAAAGTACTTGCTTCCCCCAACCCTCTAGGTGGGATTTTCCTTGTGAAAGAAATTTGGTGCAAGCCTATTCCCCCGAAGATCCAAGCTTTCTGCTGGGAAATATTCCTTGGTAAAGTAAACACTTGTGATATGCTGCAGAAAAGAAGGCCATGTATTTGCCTTTCTCCTCGTGTGTGTTCACTGTGTAAGGAAAGTGGTGAGACCCTTTCTCATTTAATGATATCCTGTTTTTTTGTGCATCGAATTTGGGAATTCTTTTGTACTCTCTTTGGCTGCAGGTGGGTTCCCCCTCAAGATGTCGCAGGACTCTTCAACCATGATTTCTTGAGACAGCGAAAGAAAAGAGGGATGGTAATGTGGAAAGCAACAAYGGTAGCAATTTGCTGAGTAACATGGGAAGAGAGGAACAAGAGAATTTTCTTGGAAAAAAGTAGAACAATAGAGGAAGTGATTGATAGTATCAAGGTGAAAGTAGCCCATTGGGTAAAACCCTTGGACTGCTTTCAAATCTTTTCAGTTGCAGACATTCTAAGAACATGGTCCGAAGTAGCACGATCTTCGAGAGTAAGAGATAAAGTAAAGCTGGAGTGGAAACCACCAGAAGGCAATAAAGTAAAGCTGAATTTTGATAGGTGCTCCTATGGAAATCCAGGCATCTCAGGAATAGGAGTATTAAGAAACTCTGACAGGAGGATATTGGGTATGTTCTCAGGACCGATTGGCAACGGAAACTCGCTGAAGGCTGAACTATTGGCATTACTACAAGGGTTAAAGCTAGCCAAACAACTAGGATGCAGACATGTTGAAGTGGAAGGGGACTCAAAAGTAGTAATTTCATGGGCAACAAATAGCAGCCACACCCCATGGATGTTTAAACATGTGATCAGGGAAGTGGAGAAGATTGCAAAGGAGGTTGAGGCTGAATTTAAATGGGTCTGAAGAAGTGCAAATGGGCTAGCTGATGGATTAGCAAAACAGGGGGCATTGAGACAGCAATTATTTTGGGCTACACCGTAATGAGGGGTGAATAGAGTGATTAAAGGGGATCAACAGTCCCATCATCAAGTTGTATAAGCTGCTTATAATCTGAATTTTAATAAAATACATATTTACCGATCAAAAGAAAAGTCTCATTTCTTGGATTCCTTCCCAAAGGCAACCCTACCATCCTACTTTTCAATAAACATAAAAAGTTTATATTTTGTCAGTCATGAATGAATAATCCCTACCATCCTCTTAGCTACAATCTCTTCCTGACTTGAGTGGCATTCAATAAAACTGAAGTCTGATATCTGAATAGCAGAAAAGCTCTTTTTACAGATATGATATCTGAAAACAGCAAATCTACTATTCTGCTTTCAAGAGTCTCTGTAATATTAAATAAGGAGGGTATTTTAGTCCTAATGAGCCATCTGAAATACATGTAAATATTCTCTGCATGAGCCACCTCTTACCAAATCAGACTTATTGTCAATTTTCAGAGGTGTGGTTCAGACAGATGGAAAGAATCCCTTTACTGCAAACAAGCCTAGCAGTCTCATCCATATACTATAAGAGAAATCACAGTGAAGTAGCAGTTGATTCACTGATCGCATCCTCCTCTGACAACACACACAGTTGGTGTTTTCTAGGGTTGGTCTTCTCCTCAATAGATTATCCTTTGTTAAAATTCTGGATAGCTGCGCCAAAAATAATTTATTAGTCAACTATCACTCTAATAAGGCTTTTCTTCAGCTTTCATTATCTCCAACATATGTTCCATCGTCTTTATGATCTAGCTAGTGCTTTAAAGACAGATGCCCTGGAATTTGCTCTATTATAGAGCAAGCTGAATTTCCCCGGTTTCCATCAAGCTTCTGAGTTCTGAAGCTGAAATTTTGAAATCATACCTTTCTTACCATCATGTGTGATCAATCAATGTGCAATATTTATCTTATGGCTTCACCTGCAGAACAAATATCCTCTCATGTAACCACACCCTTTTCTAGTAAATAAATAACAATAAAATATAATAATCATTTCATATGTTTTTTTATTTTATTTTTTGATCAGTGAAATTTCATATGTTTTTTATTGTGCACTTTTACTCTATTGAGCCAGATAGGATTAACTAACATTAATCCTAGTTGATAAGAGTCAAGCGAGCATAAACATAATTTGGTGATTTTTCTTGAACTTTTCCTATCTTCTACATGGCATGTTCTTGAAGTGCAAATTCCTGAGTCCTGATTTGAGGTCTCAGAGCTTCATATGCATTCAAACTCAGCCTTGTTAGGCTTTTTCTCCAAGGCCAGTATTTTAAAAGTGCAAGGCACAAAAAAGGCGCAAGGGCCAATTTGCGCCTGAGGCGCAAGGCGAAGCGTGTGCCTTTTTAAGAAAGGCGCAAAACTACAAAAAAAAAGCTAAAAAATCAAAAATAAAGCCAGAAAATTCAAAAAAATGCCAAAAATTTTAAAAATTCAAAAAATATTAAACATAATGTTAATAAAAGATATAAACATAAATTTTAAAAAAATGTTTTAAAAGACCAATTATCTAAATTTAAAATACATAAACACAACATGTAAAGCGTATTCAAATGAAAATTAAAAAAAAAAAGCAAACATATAAAGCATTTTCAAGCAAACATGTAAAACCCACAATCTCTTTTTTTTTCTATGAGTTGCCTTTGTACCACGGCCCTCGAGGCAAGCCCGAACAAGTCTATGTTAGGGTTTGAAATTCTTATTTCTCACATGAAAAATAATGATTTTATAACTTTAATTGCCTTTTAAGAAGATATTTATTGGAATGAATGAATGAACAACATTAGCAAATAGGGGGTTCTCGAAGTTTCCTCGAGGGGCATGGTCGGGGGTTTGGGGGCGGAGCCCCTCAGCCCCCGACCCAGCCGTTAGACTCAAGAAAAGGCAAAAAGTGCAAAATTTTAAAAAGGTGCATGCCTGGGCTGAGGCGCAAGGCACATCAGGTGCACGCCTAGGTGTACCAGGCATGCGTCTTTTGAAAGGGGTGCGTCTACGACCTGGGCGAGGCGCATACCCCGAAATGTGCGTCGCCTGTGCACCTAGGTGCGCCTTTTAAATCACTGGTCAAGGCTTCCATCTAAAATGCCTTTTCTTTTTGTTTTAATATTCCTGTGGCTTAAGATGTTCATGGCAATTGAATGCTTGGCATTATTTGCTCTTATTATTCCAACTTTCTTGTTAGCCAAGCATATTAGGTAGAAACATGCTTGACTTAATCTCTGATTGTTGAGTATTTGTGCCTCAAACTAAAGATCAAATGTAATAGAAAATATTGTGTGAAAAAGGTGCTTTACAATATTTTTTTTTTGAAAAAAGGTAATAGTTCGGGTCTGTTGCTCCTGAACAGGGTGCTTTGTAATCTTTATCTCCTTTTAATAAAAATGGTGCTGTACAATATCCTTTGGCTTCTTAAAACTCTGTGAATGAAGATTGTTTCACCATATGTGATATCTTGTTCTCCAGTTTTTATTTTCTTGATCTAATTTATCCAGTTTTTGTCTGTAGAGGTCCATGAGGTTAGCTTTTTTTTTTTGTCATCATCCAGTCAACATTCCATATCCAATTTTAGAATATACTTGTAGCTCTAGTTTGTTTATTCAATATCTAATACTGCTTTATCCTATTTCACAGAAGCAGCTGGGATATCATTACCTGACCATCAAACCATTGTTGGACTACTTCCCCAACCTTGTACGTCTGGGAACAGGCAAGATACAAGAAATGCTTAAATTGTATATTTCTGGTTTTGAATGTTAACTCAATTATGTAAGTTTTATGGTCATTATACTACTAATTGTGAGTTGTACATTGAACCAAATATTGGTAGTTTGTGATTCTACCTAACAAGGGAAACTTAAAGCAATTTCTATTGTTAAATAGGAGTTATATAATCTTTTCCACCTTGGCATCTATAATTTTTTAGAAGGTAACAAAAACTATTAAAATAAAAAAGAGAGTTTACAGATATATGGTGTTGGAAGCTGGAACAAGATAAAGAGAAACATTGGACAAATAACCAGATAAAGAGAGTTTACAGATATCTGCTCATTGATTTTTTAGTTCATTGGTAACAAGATGAAGAGAATTTCATTAGAATAAAGAAAAAATAAGAAGGTATAGACATAACAGCAAAAGACAAACATTGGACAAATAACAAAGAAAACCCAGTGGCTGCAAGATCAACTTCACATGCCCTAGCAATACAAAGATTTTTTTTGAAGGATAAAAGGGAAATTCGTTAAAATAAAAGAGAAAATATAGCAGAAGGTGATAAGAAATCACCAAAAGCAAGAAACAGCTCTAGGAAACCCAAAAAAGGCCTAAGATAGGGCTGCAATCAAATCGAGCTCTAATTGAACAGTTCGGGCTCGAATTCGATTAGGTTCAATTCGAGTTCGAACCTTGGGGTAAGCTCGAATGCTCGATTAGTTATTCGAGCTCGAGCTCGACCAATAAAAAGTTTGGCTCGAAAGCTCGCGAGCTTGGCTCGATTAACACATACATACATAAAAATATATATTATATATTATAAAAAATATCATATATACTATATTATAAATAATATCATAAAATATATTTTATATTCTATATAATATTTTTTTTATGAATCATGAATAATTTTATTAGGATGAAAATAAAGTAAACTGACAAGTGGATACAATCCAGAGTTCTCCTAGAAGGCACGAGTTGCTGCCTTCCAAAACAAAGAAAATCAAAATAAAATTACAATTGAGCCCAGAACAAGTGATCCCTGTTCACCCCTTGCTTAGCTAGCAAGTCTGCCAGCCCATTTGCCGACCTCCTCTCCCACTGAACTCTCACAGTGAGATTAGAAGTAAGGCACTTAAATCTCCTTATCACTCCCCTGAGGCTATGTTTGGTTTGAAGGAAAAGGTAGGGAAAAGGAAGGGAAAGGTAGGGAAACTTAAAGAAAATCAAAATAAAATTACAATTGAGCCCAGAACAAGTGATCCCTGTTCACCCCTTGCTTAGCTAGCAAGTCTGCCAGCCCATTTGCCGACCTCCTCTCCCACTGAACTCTCACAGTGAGATTAGAAGTAAGGCACTTAAATCTCCTTATCACTCCCCTGAGGCTATGTTTGGTTTGAAGGAAAAGGTAGGGAAAAGGAAGGGAAAGGTAGGGAAACCTATACAAAGTTTGTAAAAGTTTCCCTACCTTTCCCTTCCTTTCCCTACTTTTTCCTTCAAGCCAAACACAGCCTAAAAGACGAAGCTGTTGTCTCTGGTTCTTTTAGCCACCCAGTTACCACTTTAGAGTCACCTTCATCAATCAATCTCCCAAAGTTCAACTCTTTAGCAATTTGTGCACCCTGTATAGCCGCTTGCATCTCTGCACTAACCGCATCCCCTACACCATTTGGGCCAAAGTATAAGGCAACAATCTGCCCCTCTTCATTCCTAAACACACCCCCAATACCAGAAGGTCCAGGATTGCCAAGGCTGCTGCCGTCAAAATTGAGCTTTATGAAGCCTTCTTTTGGGGGTTTCCAGTCAACTACAGGCTTGTCCTTAGCTGAAGAGGAGTTTGCCACAGATTCCCAATTTCTCCATATGTCATCAAAGGAGAAAAGTTAGAATAACTCCCAAGTTTTTGTCCAGTTAATAGCCCTTATTAACAGACATTCCCAAACAGTAGCTACATCCCTTGAATCATCATTAAAAATCCTGTTATTTCTTTCTTCCCATACTGTCCATACTAAAGCAGCTCTTACACATCTCCATAACAATCTACCTCTTCTCTTAGGCCACCTAAAAGTTGTAGGGTCGAAAAGCCCCCTGGTTTGCAGTGGCATATTCCACACACGCYCAAAATGACCAAAATTTTTTTTCCCAAAGATTTACAACAAAAGAGCATGAAATTAGAAGATGGAAACAACTCTCTCCATTTGCTTTGCAAAGGACACACCAGTTTGGGGAGATGCAAAGGTTGTACCTTTTCTTTTGCAAGGTATCTAAAGTGTTTAATTTCCCAAGATAGATTTCCCAACAAAGGGCTCCAACCTTGGGGGGAATGAGTTTAGACCAGACTTCCTTCCAAAAGAAAGGCTGAGGGTTAGGGACTGAGCACAACTGAGTGAAAAAAGAGGCACAAGAAAAAAGACCCAAAGAATTCGGAGTCCAAACTCTAGCATCAGGTTTAGAAAGGTCAAAAAAAACAAGAGTCTAGGGTTTTTAGCAACAAAGCAGCCTGATCAAGTTCAGAGTCTCTTAGATATGTTCTGAAACCCAAATTCCAACTAAAGCCTGAGGACTGGGAGACAGCAACAAAGGTTTGAATGGGTTGCTTTTAAAAAGGGAGAGGGAATACAAAGATGGATAAAGGTCCTTAAGGGCAGACATGCCAATCCAAGTGTCTTCCCAAAAGATAATCTTATCACCAGTACAAAGGTCATACGTGATAAGGCTGAGAAATTGGGGAAGGATACCATGAATAGCCTTCCACAAAGAGTTTAGTGTAGCTTGCCGAGACCCTCCAGTATCCCAACCATTTCTTGCATAACCATGAATACTTCCCACCACCCTATGCCACAACCTCCCTCTCTCTAATGGCCATCTCCATAACCATTTACCTAACAAAGCTTCATTCTTCTTCCCAATATTGCCTAACCCCAAACCCCCTTGCTTCTTACTTCTACAGACTAATCCTATCTCGCCAGGTGATCTTTCCTTCCTTCACTAGGCTCCCACAAGAAGTCCCTCATGATCTTCTCTAATTTCACTACCTTCCTTTTTGGCATCTTGAATACTGAGCGGAAGAAAACTGGAAGGTTTGCTAAGGTAGACTTTATTAAAGTAATACAACCCCCTAGAGACACATAATTCCTCTTCCACACTGACAGTTTCTTGGCACATCTTTCAAGAATTGGGTTCCAAAAACTTCCTTCCCGTGGAATGGCTCCTAATGGCAAACCTAGATATTTCAAGGGCCACCTAGCAGTAGGGCAACCTATGGCTATTGCAACCCTATATAATATAAGAATATACTATATATTATAAAAAATATCATACATATAAAATATATAAATATATTTATTTTCGAGCTTTCAAGCTGAACTTGAGCTCATTGAATATTTAATCGAATCGAGCTCAAACTGAAAAATATAGTTCGAGTTGAACTTGAGCTCGAACTCGAACCTAGTAGTAATTTAGTCGAGCYGAGCCAAGACATGCCAAAGTTCAGTTCGGCTTGACTTAATTGCAGCCCTACCTAAGAATACCACACCTTACAAACATGAAAAATTACGCAAAAACTCTGCATAATGATCAAAGGATAGACCCAATACAAATCCCCATTAAAAGAAGGACCACCACCCATCTCTAAACAAAAGCAAGAGCCCTTCCAGTTGCCCACATCAATCTTTATCTGTGAGCACATCCTCTTGGTTTGAGTATTCCTTGTCCCAATCCTTGCTCCCTTTCGGAGGTGCTTTGTTCTTCATTTTATCTTCCTCTTTTTTTTCTTTCAAATTCTTCAAAATCCCTCCTAGCAAATTCCTCACCACCCCAGAAAAACAGACCCAATCTTTTCCTAATTGTGACATCTCTATCAACCATTTTTTGGATAGTTACCTCACCTGGATTTRTCAACAACACCATTATCCTGCAGTATCCGTATCACACCAGATTGAGAGTCGACACCATTCACCTTGTTTTCCTGTTGTTCCTTCAATGAAAGGGGGGCCGGTGACTGAGCTTGCACCGTTACCCCCTATGATCAGTACCATTGTCCTATTGCCTCTCGCTCTTTTCCTTCTGTACACCATTTATATATATATATATATATATATATATATATATATATGTATTTTTGTAGGGCCTGCCCCTGCCAAGCTGAGTTTTAGCCTTGAAAAGATCTTTGTCACATGAACAATATTGTGAGTTCTCATATTACGT